CTTAACAACAAAATACTTTAATTCCATGTGTTTTGCACTCCTAGAATAGTTGTTTTTCTTGGAGGTAAAATGGCTTGAACCCGACTCCAATGGCTTAGATATAATTATTGAGATATTATTAAATAAAATGATAAGTTGTTTATTTGAGCAATTTTGAATATATCGGGATTTATCGAGCTTGAAGTGGATTTTTCGGACTTCTTATATAAATATGATAAAATGACGAAATAAATTTTATAAAATTCATTGCTTTATCTTGAGCCTTAAGATGCGAATCAGAAAAATTTTAGAGTTTGTTTGGTAAACGAATGAGATTTTTGAATATGTTGACCGGTTGAAACGATATTGAGTTGATTGAGTTAGGAGTTGACTTTTGCCATGATATTTTGACCATAGACTATGTGTATGTTGAGGATGTTATGTTTCGAATTTCGTGAATTTTGGATACCGTTTGACTTAGATTAAAAATTGAGACTTTAGCCGGTAAATGCGATAATAGAGAATATGAGTACGGTTGGATTTTAGCTGTGATTATAAAATCGATATAAATCACATAGAAACTATGATTTTAATATTGACCTTAAATGAGTTAGGTTTTCGATAGGTTTTCAAGAATCAGAAACGCTAGATTTATCCGGTTTCGAAAACTGGGTAATTTTTGGATGCAGGTTTAATCGTCCGAACCCTAGTACTCTTTAAATAACTTAAGACGTCGTAGCATTAATTGTTAGAGCGTATCGTCGTCCCGCACACATGATTGACTCTCATCTGACCGTCGGAGCCGAACCACCGAGTGCGTGCTCGTGCACCTAGTCCGAGTCCAACCGTCGAGTGCGTGCCCGTGCACATTCAATCCACCGTCTACGCGCCGTTTTCGTACGCCGTGGTCCAAGCATTCCCCTGCGTCAGTGACCGTGGCATCACTTCAAACCCGCGCTTCGGGTAAGTCGTGTCAGTTGAGTTCGTGTCGCCCCGAGTTGCCACGTCGAACCCGGACCACGGTCAAACCGAGCTGCACATAGTCAAACGAATGATCGATCGACTCCGAATTAGCTGTTGATCCAGTTCAGTCGAACCAGTCTGGACGGTTCGAAGAGAATTTCAGTTCAGCTGAACTAGTCCGGCAGTCCAGACGGTTCGAGAGATTTCAGATATATATTTCAGATAAAATTTCAGATAGAGTTAAAATCCAGATATCTTTCGGATAAATTTTAGTCAGATTTAATTTCAGTTCAACCGAATCAGTCCGGGCAGCTCAGACGATTCGGGAGTTTCAGTTCGAACATCGGTTTGAGCGTGAACCGAGATTTTCAGTATTTTTTCGAATCAGTCAGATTGAAATTTAGTCAGAATATAATTCTAGATTTAAAAATATTTCAGAGAACACTAGCATGCCTCAAAGATAATAAATTTTCAAAATCAGCTCGTACATCTATAAAATGATTTTAAAGCCGAGTGAGCGAACCTAGACATATCAGATAATAAGATTTGAGTTTTTCAGTTTAAGCTTAGTACTTGGATTATATTTTGTGCTTATATATTTTGTAGCTTGTGGAGAGTCGAGCCTCCGATAGTTGCAAACCATTCAACACTTACACTTCAGCATATCAGGTGGGGACCCTGTACTGGGTACTATATTTTCTATAATCGCAATGTCTTGGCTGAGGTATGTATGTAAGAGTCCGCCTGAATAGTGGCAATTTCCTAGCGAGTAGGTTCTTTCTAGCTAAGTGAACCGAAAGCTAGTTAAGATGAGATAAAAATTCTAGTGCAGCTTTGAGTTAAGTTGAAATTTCAGATGAGGTTAGAATAATTCTTTTCTAAGGGGCTTTGACCTAGAGATATGTGTCATCATAACCAAGTGTTTCGAATTCCAGTTAGTATCAAAGATTCTAGTGTAGTTGTGAGTTAAGCTCTAACCTTAGAAATGCATTGGAGTTATTTTGCCCTAGTATGTGGCAACGACCTACAGATTAGGTCCTACAGTTGCTTATCGTGAGCGCGAAGACCAAGTGTCATTCTCGTCAGTTAAGCAGTCAGTTGAGCAGCAGTTATAGACAATATACTTATTTATATGCCTTTGTGATGTGTTCTATCATATTAGATGTATGCTTAAGTTGTGATGATTTTATCATATTAGATGTTAGGTTGTGATGTGCTTATCATATCAGATGTATGTTTAGTTCGCGATGTTGCTGTTATAGTCAGTTAGCCGAGCAACAATTATAGTTAGTCAGTTGAGCACCCATTATAGTTAGTCAGATGAGCAACATTTATAGTCAGCTAGTCGAGCAACCATTATAGTTAGTCAGTTGAGTAATTGTTATAGTCAGCTAGTCGAGCAGCCATTATAATTAGTCAGTCAAGCATAAATTACAGACAGTTAACTGAGCAGCAGTTATAGGCAGTCAATAACAGTTATAGATAGTTTGCCAATTTAAGTATTTATTGGATGAATGTTTAATCCGTTAGTAAAATGATTGTTTTTGTCCATCCAGTAAGTACTTGCATATATGCCGATGTCATGATATGTTATTATATTAGCTATATATTTCAGTGTCGGTTCCAGCGGAGCATCGTTGATTCATTCATGCTCATGCCCCACCTAACCATTTTTCAGGTGACTGTCAAGCGTGGAGCGTGAGCCGATGATGTGGTGGTGGTCATAGCAATGATATTTTTAGTAAACATGTAATGCATATTTGTAATGAAAAAGATTAGGTAAACTACATCACAAATTCAATATACACAAAAGCACATATCATAAGTAAATGCAAAAATAATACTCACAACGAAACGGTATAAGAGAAAGCATTTAAACAGATTTAATGGCACAACACTAAGAACATTCATTCTACATAAATTAAACTAATTGCTTTAAGGATTGAAGCAGAAGAGTTCGACGAAGTTACCTATGCGCATGTTGCAAACACTAACACCTTTTCGTAATATTTCAGTCATTGCATATTGTCTTTAATAACATAGAAAATATGTTTAATGCTTTTTCTTTGCATTATTTGAACCTCTCTGTTAAAATAGAAGTATGTTATTAATACAAATCCATCATCCAAACAAAGCAGAAAATAAATATAGTTTACCATTACAAACTTACTCATGCATCAACAAGTTGAGTTAGAGCGTGGTCTGTGTCTATTCTTTTCATTATTTCCAATTGTTTTGTGACATCATTTAGTTTGTTTTAATTTTGAGAAAAATGTAGACATTGAAACCATAACGGCAGGAAACATAATATTTTAGTGGGTCCATCAGCAAGACAATGGCTTCCTTAACAACCAAGGAGTCTAATCCTAATATGTTTCATGCAGTTATGGTTTTAATGTCCATATTTTTTCTCAAAATGGACCTACTGAATGACAAAGCAATTGAATATAATGAAAAGGATAGACACAAACCACGATCTTACTCAATTTGTTGTTGCATGAGTGAATTTTGTAATGGTAAAGTACATTTATTTTCTACTTTGGTTTGAACGGTGGACTTATATTAATAACATACAACCATTTTGACAGTGAGTTTCAAACAATTCAAAGAAAAAATATTAATTATATTTTCTATGTTATCAAGGACAAACAATGACTGAAATGTTATGAAAAGGTGTGAGTCCTTGCAACATGCACACGAGCAACTTCGTCGAACTCTTGTGCTTCAGACAGTTAGAGAATGAATATTCTTAGTGGTGTGCCACTAAAATTGTTTTCTCTTTTGCTCTACTGCATCGTTTTGAGTATTTTTTTTTTTTGCATTTACTTCTAATATGTGCTTGTGTGAATATTAAATTCGTGATGTAATTTACCAAAGTCTTTTCATCCTGTTATTCTCTCTTTCATTTGTCTTGATCTAGAAATTCTTGAAAATTTGATTGAATGCAGACTGAAGCTTAGAAAACTATCATAAACATCATACTTTCTTAGGTTTGTAACTGAAGTTTCCTCTATCATAGCATCTCTAAAACATTTAAATAATTGAAATAACGATGAAGTAGAGAAGTAGTTGAATAGGATAAGTCTTTTTTTCTTACTCATTTTCTTTTCGGCTTTGTTTGTTATTTACTTATGATACTTGTTTGTTATCATTTCTACACTACTGGTCTATTGTGACGTTTATTACAAAATACTTGCATGATATATTTATTTTCTTTATTTTTTGTTTTTTTAGCCAATAAAAATTATTAAAGCCACAAGATATATTAGTGAAACGGGCATGTGGGTGGATCCAGAAATTTTAATGAGCCAGAGCAAAAATTGTTGATTTTTTAACCATATTGCACAAAGTACTTATATTAATAATTAAGTCGTAAATGTCATTATTTTTGTTCTTGTTATTTTATAAGGAGTTCTTATAGATTATCTTCTTATATATAAGGAGTTTTATCAATACAAGACCCAAAAGATGGGTAAACTATCAATGCGGGACTTGAAAGATTTTTTTTTCTCAATTCGAGACTTAAATATTATAAATTATCAAATTAAAGACCCGAAAGATGGGTAAACTATCAATGCGGAGCCTGAAAGATTTTTTTTCTTAATTCGGGACTTAAATGCTATAAAACTATCAAATTAAATCTAGAATTAACAAAATTCATAACACCATTAAATTTAGAGTTTAAACAAAAAAGATTGGTGTTAAATCACATAAAATAATAAGTAAACATTTACATAATATTAAAAAAATAGACGATAGCAAGAAAACCGAGCAAGAGTTTCATACTTTCCTTAATTTTCTACAATAATCTCGTATTTTCCTTAATCTTCTTTATTTTTATTTTTCTTTTTTTACTTTGTAACAAATTGGTGTTTTAAAACTTCAAATCAAATTATCTTTAAATTTAATGGTGCTATGAGTTTTATTAACTCTAGACTTTATTTGATAATTTTATAACATCTAACTCCCAAATTGAGAAAAAAAAATCTTTCAAATCCCGCATTTATAGTTTACCCATCCATCTGGGTCTTGTATTGATAAAATTTCAATTCGCTACTATGTATCTACGAACCCTATTCCTCCGACGCCTAAGCACAAAACCGCCTATCAACCCTCTGGCCACTCAACGTTTGTCGCTGCCGCCCTTGGAGTATGGCTACCTTGACTACGAGCCCGCCATCCGCAACGATATCATGTGGCTCCACCACACGGAACACCACCAGGCTTACGTCACTAACTTCAATAAAGCCTTGGACCAGCTCGATAGCGCCACCGCTAGCGGCGATGCCTCTGCCGTCGTGAAGTTGCAGGAGGTCCTCAAGTTCAACGCAGGAGGTAACTTATTTGTTTCTGATTATACGAAAACATTCTCTCCTGTTGGTTTGTTTAACTCTGATATTGTCTTAATTAGGATGTTCATTTGTTTAGGGCACATAAATCATTCACTATTTTGGAAGTGCATTGCTCCTTGCCGTGTAAAGCTTGCTCCTTTATGTACATTTCTCTACCTCTGTATTAAATCATTGTATTTTAGGATAATTGGGTTTGATTTTTGTGAAAGCTAATTATTCTCCTTCAGGAAAGGGGCGGCGAGCCTCCGAGGGATGGTTTATGCTGGGCTATTAAGAAAAACTTTGGATGCTTGGAATCTTTAAAACAGAAGATGACTACAGAAGCTGCAGCATTGCCAGGTTCCGGGTGGGTGGTAAGTTTACTGTGTGTTTTTACTTTATCGTCATGTTTCTTACAGTAGAGTTCTGCATGTGTGCTTATATGAACACTCCAGGCTATGCATTTATCGGCTAGTGAATATTCAGAATGATAATTTATTTTTTAATTCCCCAGTGGCTTGGTGTGGATTGCAAACATATCAAGCGTCTAATAGTTGAGACGACTGCAAATGATGTAAGTGAAGTGATTCTTATTGTAGCCAGAAATTTATGTGTAGTTCAGTCAAGTGCAGAACACCAAGTATGGTGTACTCCTTGTTAGTGAAAAAAACTTTAAAAACAATGTTGGCTTTAGGATTCTTGATGTGTGTCAAACAGTTGGAATGAATTTTCCTACTGTAAACAAACGAGTATTGGTCTAGCTACATGCTACATGCTGTTCTCACGTGCTATCACAAACTCTGTTATGAAACTCTTGTACCTCAATACTTTCATCTTCTCTCTTGATTTTCCTCTGTTTTTTTTGTGGTCTTGCCAATGTGCCAAAAACAGGTGGTGAAATCACTATTTTGGGTTTGCTTGAAATTGAGCATTACCTACCTTTTTCGGTGGAGATTTTAAACATCATATTCATCATTTATGTTCTCATCCACATTTGTTTATTCTTGTTTCATCTCCTTCCCTCTTCTAAGGATCATAGCAACATTTTCTCTTCGTTTGATTTCTACCGTCTATTTTGGTTGCTTACTCATGACGAATACCAATTGAGAAATCTGAGGGCTTAAGTTTTAAATACTTGCTCCGACTTCTTAATGAAAAAAACATTGGAACTCTTGATGCATTTTTTTTTTTTTTTTTTTTTTTTTTTTTTT